CGGGGGGGGGCGGCGGGAGGCCCAGCCGCAGCAGCTCCGTCCCTGCTCGTCCCCCGGTGACACGTTTGCAATCACGGCTGAGAACCGGGGGGCAGGGGCTGGGATTGTCCAACCACAGGGAGTCAGCCCGAAGAGAGGGTTTGGGGCAGGCAGGGACACAGGGAAGGATGTCAGCTCTGGTGCACAGCGGTGGCAGCTCCCCACAGACCCTTTCCGAAAGGGAACCGACCTTCACGTTGGTTCCACTTCACAAATCATCTGCTCTGCAAGTGCTTCCAACAGGGCATCCCGGGTGGAGCAGCAACGCAGCACCGGGATGTTGGCTCCCTTGGTTACACCTGGAAGGGACGACGAGCCCCACACTGACAGGTGGCAATGAAGCTTCTTTTGTGCCTTCTGAGCACTGATCCAAAGTGAAACAGAGCATCTTTCATTTTCCTGTGGGGGTGGGAAAGGGGGAAACAACACCCATTGTCCTACCTGCTCCTCAGAGGGACATTTGTGTCCCTGTTGGCAGGTCGGTGGCACCAAGCCCAGCAGCACCCAGGATGACCATGTGCTGCAGCTCGTGGGACAAAGGTGCTGTCTCAGCAAGCAAGATACCCTCCTGGGCTTAGTCTGAGCTCAGCAAAACGAGCATACAGGGAAATACTCCCAGCTGGAAAACCAGAACCAGGAGCCACCATGGTCAAGGGAGATCATAGACTCACAGATCAGAGAATGGTCAAGGTTGGAAAAGGTCTTCGAGCCAGAGTGGTCGCACTGCTCTGCCATGGGCAGCCAGGGAGATGCAAGGCAGCTCCTGCTCCTTTCCTTTGGGATGTGGTGTGTGGAAAGCTTCAGGATCTGGCCTGATACTAGTAACTGGCTCAACAGGTGACCTAGCAAGAGCCGTGGTGTTTCTGCCAGCACCCGCTGCTGCTCTGCTCAGTATTTAATAGCAAAATGACTGAGTGAAGTGTGAACACTTCATGCAGCCATGAAGGCTGCCCACAGTGCAGTGTGCTAATCCCCCCAGCCACAACTGGGCCCTGGCTGCTTTGGCTCACAGGGATGAAAGGCTCCTGCTGTCTGTGCCAGGTGGTGCCCCCAGGACAGTTGATGCTGACCTGAACCAGGAGACTAGTGTGGCCCTGCCAGCTGCTGCCCAGCTGCTGGCTTTGGAGAGTTGGGGTCACCCCATGGGAGCACCAAAAGATGAGCCTGCAGCAGCGCAGCACAGGTACATCTGCCACCAGCCCAATGAGCTCAGAGCCTCTCTGCAGCATGAATTAACCCACAAACCTGCCACACAGCATCAGAGACCTGTGGGATGGTCGTTCCAAGCAGACTGGTGGAGCACAGCCCAGCTCTGAGCTCCAAAACCAATAAAAAGGAGAAGCAACTGAGTTATTCTGACTTTTATTTCATGGCGTCTTAGTCCACACGGTCGGTATAAAATCAGAAAAGCAAAGCAAAAAAAAACCAAAACAGAATAAAAGAAAACCCAAAAATTAAACAAAAACAACAGCAACACAGTGTCTGGAGTCCTCAGAAGGCAGCCTGGGGTTGGTGCAGGTGCCTGTTCAATTCATGGCCAGACACAGAGAACAGACATCAAAGACCAGCAGGGCTCCAGCCAGAGCTGTTTCTGTTCCTCTTGACCACAGGGGAAAAAAAGGAACCTCAGTTACAAATGCTTTATTAAAAATAATAGTAAGAGCAAGTCTAAGTAGAAAAGCAGTCATAGCTCAGTTATATTACACAGTTATTTCTCATCTCTAGCTTCGTCGTTTACCTCAAGATTGTTAACTGAATTTCCAGTGACTAAGGTTAAATGGCTAGCAATATAAGGAATGGTAAATAGATAGCACCATTTCATACATCTGGTATTTGATTTCATAGCTATACTGGGTTTGCTTCTTTCTCATCAGCAGTTTAGCTCCACGGCAAGGAAAAAGCAGGTTTCACGGTCGGGAGCGTCGGTGCCCGGGTGGCTGGGCAGGGCACACGCCCCACCCGCGGGCCAAGGGGACAGCCCACCTCGGCCTGCAATTCAACCTAAGTGATTTAAAAGCCCAAATTCCCAGGGGGTGTGGTGGCAAGGCCAGGGGACTCAGGCACATAAGTCATTTAGGCACTTGGGGCAATCAAAGCCTTTGCTCCGAAATCCTTCAAACCTTTCGGAAGCGTCTCCCGTCAGATCTGGACGTGCACTTCAGTCACCAGGATCACAGCATGTGGCAGGAGCGGGGCCTAAACCCCCGGCTGGTGTAAACAGACACACCTCCAGTTTACGCCAGCCTGAAACCAGTCAGAGCTGGGGTTTTTCTGATGGTTGGATATGGGCTGGGATGGAGAAGGAGAGTTCAGGTCAAGGGTTTTGCAGGAGAGAAAAATCACCGCGCTCTTGTTACACTGTTAGGATAGTAGTTCCTTAGGCACTTGCTTTAGGCTTTAAAACATCGCGTCAGGTCAACAAAAGCAAACAATACTATGTACATATATGTAAAAAGTGTTATAAATAGGTTTTTAAACCATAGATACTATATACATCTTCCATTAACAAGTAACCCTTTGAGTGTTTCCTTTTGGGGTCGGTTGGGTTTGGTTTTGGTGGGAGGGTTTATTCCTTTTTGGGGGGGGGTTGTGGGTTTTTTTTGGTTAATTTTCCTTTCCCGTTTTCTCGTCTATTTTCCCGCCTCCGTCTCCTCCGCGAGTGCCCGGTCACAGCCCTCCTCCCGCGGCCGTCACTCCCGCTTCCGCAGGATCCCGTAGATGATGCCGCGGGCCAGGGCCAGCGGGAAGGCCAACCAGGCCAGGATGTAGGCGAAGCCGTAGGAGCTGCCCTGGGGGTGCCAGTCCGGGTGCCGCACCGTGTAGATGGCGGCGCCGCTCATCACGCACAGCCCTGCGGGGAAGCACACGGGACGGCTTAGGGGTGTGTGGCTGCAGCCAGGATGAAGCCAATTTTCCTTGTATTGATTTCTTTTCCCCTTCAGGAAGCCTCCTTTTCACCAGCAGCAGAGTGTTCCAACTAGCACTGAGAACAGTGGAATGTGTCTCTAGCTGCTGGGGCTTCAGGGTCGCACCTTCACTCTGCCGGCTCAGACGCTGCAGGGAGATCTCTGACCCCCCGCAGGAGGCTGAGTTAGACAGACAGCAAAACTGGCCAGAGAGATTCCATTCCATGGAGCTACGTGAGCTCAGAGGAAGGACAGAGAGCACACAAGACAACTTCCTCCCTGCTGCTTCTTCCCTCCTCCTCCACCCATGGCCGGCGCCCGCGGAGGACTCCGTCCATCCCTCCCCGGGGACCCCCAGGCTCCAGCTCTCCTGACCCTCATCACTCTGCGCTTTCTCCAGCAGCTCCAGGATTTTCTGGGGCTGTTCCCAGGTCAGGAGATGCTGTGGCAGTTGCTGGGCTGGGGGGAGGCGAGAGGCTTTTGCTCATACCTGAACATACCTGTATACAATTGTATATATTTTCTTATGTCATTAGTGTTGAATTAAAGCTGTGCAGTTTAGTTTTCAATCCAGCCAAGTCTCTCTCTTTTTCTCTCCCTCTCTCCCTACCCAGGTGGGAGAGGAAGGGGATCAAGAGCACTGTTGTTGATCCAAGTCAGAGGGTGACAGATGTCACACAGGGAGCAGTTCCCTGCTGGAAATGCTGAGCTGGAGAGGACAACACTCAACCCCAGCAGGGGAAACTGCTCATCCTGGCCCCCTTGTCTCCTGGAAAACCGCGGCACGAGTTGGGTATCCTTCTAAAGACCAGACAGGAAATACAGCAGGATGGTCACTTCCCAAGAAGTGCCCAGGTGACAACTTCCTGCAAATGGCAGAGGAACCAACAAGAAAAGGTGCTGTGCTGGATCTTTTTCTCACCAGCAGGGAAGGGCTGGTGCCCAACGTGAGGCTCAGGGACAACCCTGGATGCAGCGACCATGAAGCACTAGAATTAAAGATCCTCAGGGCAACTAGAAGGAAGAAATCCAAGCTTGTGACCCTGGACCTCAGGCAAACAGAATCTGATCACCTCAGGGATCTGATGGCCAAAGTACCATGGACAAAGCCCTAGAGAGAAGGGGGGCCCAGGACAGCTGGTCAGTGTGATCTTTAAGGTCCCTTCCAACCCTAACATTTCAATGATTCTATGATTCTAAGTGACACAATGAGAATGAATGTGTTTGAGTGGAGTAATAGAAAAGAGGGGGGAGGAGGGGCAGAATCACTAAGAATTGAGCCTTTTTTTTTCTTTTGAAATGAAACACTGATACCAAAGCTATTGGCTCAACTGAATCTTAGAACCACAGAATGGTTTGGGTGGGAAGGGACTTTAAAGATCAGCTAGTCCCACCCCCTGCATGGGCAGGGACACCTCCCACCAGCCCAGGCTGCTCCAAGCCCCATCCAACCTGCCCTTCAACACTGCCAGGGATGGAGCAGCCACAGCTTCCCTGGGCAACCTGGGCCAGGCTCTCACCACCCTCACAGTGAAGAATTTTCTCCTAATGTCCAATCTAAATCTCCCCTCTTCCCATTTTGATCCATTATCATTGTCTGAACCTAGAGGTTCATTCCCCCTGACTTGTAGCTTTCCAATTCCACATACAAACTCCTGGGCATTTGAACCAACAGCCTTTCTACAGCCTGCTCTGCCTGTAGCTGAGGGGGTATCTCTGCCGGGCTCTGAGCAAGCAAAGCCAGAGACCCTGGAGCAAGAAATCCAAAGCTCTGGAGCAAGCAAAGATGAAGCACCACCTGGGCTGGCCCATCCCTCAGGCAGGCACCAGGTATCCCACCCCCTTGGGGATTTAAAAGCTTAATTAAAGTTGATTAAAACAGCCTGAACCATCCTGCCAAGAGCTGCTGCAAGTGGTCAGACACAAACCCTGTTTTTTTTCCTTAGAGCACGGAGGTTTCACAGATGAGCACAGTGGGGGTTCAAGGATGCCCTGGCTGGGCAGGTCTGTGTCCTGCCATCTCCTGTCCTCCTCCAGGGCTGTGTGAGGAGCTCAACCATCAACCCCCTCCCTGCCAACCCTGCCGTGCCCGTGTCTTGTCCCTCTTCCCAGTGTCCAGCCTCGCCAGCCACGGGCCAGGTCAGGTCCCCAGGGCTCCGGTGGGCAGCATTTAAGCTTTGTTGCAAAAACAACCCACCAGCACTGGGGACTGCCCAGAGCAAACACAAAGCCACTTCTATTTCTGCCCCCCCGAAAAAAGTCAATCCCAACAGCTCTATTATACAGTCGTGGGGCTGTTGTTGGAGCCGAGTTCCAAATCCCCTGCACAGACCTTGGGACCACCTACATTTAACCACAGTGATATTTGAGCTGCAATTCCACTTGACACTGCTCCTTTGTTCTGGGAAAGTGCAGAAGTGGGAACATGTTTCATTAGCACACCACGGGTGCAGTTCCCATTCTCTGAGCCCCAGAGCCAACTCCCACTGCCCCGGCCCATGAAGAGAGCACAACAATTGTCTGCCCGTGGTGGTGGGACAGAGGACAAGCGTGTGGCCACGCTGGTCACCTACAGACAGCAGAAAATACAGCTGTCATTGTCTGCCTGAGGAATGTGGCAAAAGGGAGGCAATAGTTTCTGCAGCATCTCCATGGACTTTGCCTGGAGAAGGTGCTGGAGAAATGCAGGAGCTGCAGCCACCTGCTGGCACCACTGCAAGCAGTAATGCATCACCATCTTAGAGCCTGATTTTAAGAACACACTTCAGTCTTGCTTGGACAGGCCAGAGGGGCAAATGCCTCAAAGCTGTTCCTGCAGGTCTGTCCATTTTGGCCCAGCCATGCAGACAAGCTGGGCTGGATGCTGGGGCATGTTCATGGGCAGCTCAGCCATGAGGGGCTTTGCAGAAAGCTGCAGGACGTGTGGGAGGCCCAGCTCTCCAGGCTGAGCTTACCCTCTCCATCCCATGGGGACAGCAGCTCTAGGGTAGAGGGACGAGCAAAAAACAGATGAAACAGATGCTGAGGTTGGAGAAAGTGATGGAAAAGTTGGGTCAACATGAGAGACTGTTAAAAGTTACTTTAGATGAAATAACCATGGATGTGATGGACCCACCAAGGATGGAGGGGAGTGGCTGAGGAAACTTGGCTTTGGGCATGTTTCCAAGCAGTGTGGAGAAGGCACTGGGGATGCACCCTACCCTGCCACTGCACAACAGACCCAGCTGACCCTGTGCATCACTTCCTGCCTCTACCTCCACTCCCCAGCTCCCCTGAGCCCCAGATGAAGCCACAGTACACACCAGCCTGGCTCTGCTCCAGCAGCATCCAGCAGTCCTGCCCTGGGCATCTGCTGGTTTGGGTCCAGCATTGCCACTGGTCATGCCCCAAAACTGGAAACCCTTAGCTTTGACAAGTTGCATCACCCAGGGAGAAGGAGCAGGGTGATGGAGGGCTACAGGAAGAGACTTCTCATCCCTGCCCAGGAGGAAGGAGGTCCTCTCCAGCTTGCTGAAGCTGAGGATGAAGCACTTAAATGAGCAAGACATGTTCTTGGCAGACCTCCATGGGTAGGCCTTCATGGTGCCAGGGTTTTGCAAGGCATGGAAGAACACCTGGAAAGCCTGAAGGCCACAGGAATTTCTCCCTTGGCTTTAGCCAGCAGTAGCCTTTCACAGCAAGCTGCAAGGAGACCACACCAGCCTCAGCTCCTTTGACCAGAAGAGCTCCCCTGGCTGGGGAGCACAGCAAGAACGGCCACCAGTGCCCACCTCTGCATGGTCCATCCAGACCCAGACCATGGGAAAGCTTCATGGCAATCAGCTCACACCTTCACCACTGGGCTGGGAAGTGATTTGACCCAGCAAGGAGTGAGCCAGCAGGTCTGTGGTCTGACCATGCATCTCCTTAGTACACCCAGCACAGCATGGACAGGAGGGTTGTAATCCCATTTTCTCCTCCTCTGAGAAACAGCATTCACCAGCAATCACTCAGGAGAGAGAAGCCTTCTGCTCCCAGATCTATCAGACAAGCTCTCAGGCAGATAATTGCATTATTGATGCCCATTTCCCCTTCTTGTCTCCATGGCTGTAATGGGTTCCTACTCATTTGGCTCTCCAGAGACAGTGAACTGTATGACCTCATCACCTGCATTATGGCCAAGCAGACACACTTACAACAGATTTTATGCCCCACTTGCAATTAAAGCTCAGCTCTAAACTCTTCCAGAGCTTGCAGAGGGGATGCTCAGGAACTTTGCCTAACGTTCAGTGGATGAGTTTTTCCACTGATTTAGTGGCAAGACCTGGGGTGGCTTTTAGTTTAACACCTACAGCTCTAGCCAACCATTAGTTTCCTTCCTAGAGTCTGCCACAATTTAGCCAGAACCTTGTTTAACAATTTAATCTTTCTAGTCTGTTAACACTTGAAAATCCTCTCCATTGGTTTCACATGTGGAAACAAAAGGGACCCAGTGGCTTTACAGCATCTGTATCTGGGGAACTGCAACACGGGACATGGACCTGGCTCATGTCCAGCAGTGGGCTCTTGAAGAGTTAAAAATAGCAGCTGACAGTTTGAAGTCAGCTGGCTCACCTTGCTCCAGCTCTTTGATGATGTGGAAAGCACCAGGCCCCCTTATGGCAAGTTTAGAAATAATCATCAGATCCTCTGTTGCCAAAAAGGCTCCTCCCTACATCCCCACTCACCAGCCCTTGTGGAAACCTCGCCCAGCCCAGCAGAGGTGGGTCCCAGACCCACACAGCCACCCTGGGCCATCAGCATCCCACCCCAAGCAGGGAGGGGTGGGCAGAGCTCTGGAACCCCCTCCCACCCTGCCTATCCCACCAGCACAGCTCTGCCCCCAGCTTGGTGGGTCTGGCTCCCTGCCCTCCAAAACCCCCTGCCCAGGGCAGCAACATTCCTGCACCTTCCATGATCACAGAAACAGACTCACAGACTGGTTTGGGTGGGAAGGGATGTTAAAGCCCATCCAGTCCCACCCCCTGCATGGGCAGGGACACCTCCCACCAGCCCAGGCTGCTCCAAGCCCCATCCAACCTGCCCTTCAACACTGCCAGGGATGGGGCAGCCACAGCTTCCCTGGGCAGCCTGGGCCAGGCTCTCACCAGCCTCAGAGTGCAGAATTTCTTCCTAAGATCCAATTCAAATCTTCCCTCTTCCAGTTTAAAGCCATTTATGATGTGAGGGGCCAAAGAGCTTGGACATGACGTGCCCTGACAGCCAGACCCAGCCTGTGTGCAAGACCTCGACAGACTGAAATTATTCATTCCCCTTTTCCTTCACTAAACCACACAGGAGCCAGCACAGTGCCCCTCCTGCTTTGGCACCCAAGAGCATGCTGGTTCCCACCACTGCCCTTTCCCCAGCACACAGCCCCATCCATCAGCCCCCACTTACCAGCAAGGATCTGGAAGATTCCAGTGATGTAAAACCTCCCACCCTTGGTGAGCGTGAACAGCTGGCAGAAGAACAGGAACAGGGACAAGACACTGAAGATGATGGAGAGGATCATCATGGCTTGGACAGACTGCAGCCATTCTGGGGAAAGACAGACAGAAACCTCAGATTGGGCATGACAGACAGTGAGGCCTCAGTTCCCCTCCCCAAGCCACCATCCCACCCCTGGATCCCTGGAAGTCTTTCAGCAGCTGGGGGACGTGGCCACGGTCAGGGCTGGGGAGGTGCTCAGGGATGCTGCCTGGGGTTTGGGATAGCACCATGGACCAGCCTGTGGAGGAAAAATGAATCCCAGGGCCATGCACGTAGTCAGGGAGCATTTATAAGCTAATAATATAATATAATAAAATAATAAAATACAAGCAGAGATATTAGCCCCAGTCTGAAACCTGCAGAAATCAAGACAAAGCTTCTCCCCCAGCTTCACGTCGGGCCCTGGAAGTTCCACTGTAATAGGAACACAAAAGCCATGTGCAAGGAGCCCTGAGCCACCCAGCTGGCCAAGCTGTGATGTAAAATAAACACAGGGTGAGAGAGAACACCCTCTGCCCTTAGGGTGTCCAGCCTTTTGGGAAGAGCCTTCCTCAGCTGCCAAAGGCAACAGCCTCCTGGAGCAGACCAGCTCAACCAGTCCCTGTGTGAGTCACTGCCCAGCTATTTCCAGGCTCCATGGGCGTGTAACTCCCCACAACAAAAAATACAAATAAACACGCAAAACGCTGCTCCATCCCATGAGCAGCTTGACAGAAAGAGGCAGCTCCTCAAGCACTCCCAGGACAGGGCTGTGCTCACAAATCCCTCTCCTTTCCTTTTCCTTGTAACATTTGAGATCCAAATTAGTATTTGCAGCCTTCCTTTAAGGTCTTTAAGGATGTGGCACTGATTAATTAACATAAAAGCCAGGCAGGACTCGGTATGGGTAAACTGAGGCACAAACTACTCAGTGAAAGGCAGAAGAATCATGCTTGGGGCCGGAAGCTCAGAGGAGAATTAGGCAGCACTGAAGCCTCAGTCCCAGTCCCAGCTCCTGCTGCAGCTTCACTCCCACCAGTTTGGCTGCACACAGAACCAGCTTCTGCAGCCAAGAGCTGAAGCAAAGCTTCAAACTGAAGCTCAGCTTTGGCTCAGCAGAACCCAACATTCGGTGCAGCAAGTGGGGCCATGTAGGACTCCCCAGAGCAGCCTCTGCTCCCAGGGGACCAATCCTGCTTCCCCACCGAGCCCTCCCGAGCTGCGCTCCGGGCGGTGGGAGCGGAACCGGAGCAGGGCGAGGAGCAGCCTGCAGCTGGGGCAGCAGCAGGGAGCCAGCCAGGGAGCTGCCAGCAAATCCATGCCCGTGGGGAACATCCTGTGCGATGCAGTAACGTCTGGTGTGTCTGGCTTTGGACCATCAGTTCTGCCTCTTGCCTCTGTATCGTGCCTCCCAACAGAGCAACCTCTCCAGAGCAGACACCAACCACCCAGGGCAGCCTCTGCTCCCTGCAGACAGCTTTTCCTTCCTCTCCTTCCTGTGCTTCACTGTAATAGGAACACAAAAGCCATGTGCAAGGAGCCCTGAGCCACCCAGCTGGCCAAGCTGTGATGTAAAATAAACACAGGGTGAGAGAGAACACCCTCTGCCCTTAGGGTGTCCAGCCTTTTGGGAAGAGCCTTCCTCAGCTGCCAAAGGCAACAGCCTCCTGGAGCAGACCAGCTCAACCAGTCCCTGTGTGAGTCACTGCCCAGCTATTTCCAGGCTCCATGGGCGTGTAACTCCCCACAACAAAAAATACAAATAAACACGCAAAACGCTGCTCCATCCCATGAGCAGCTTGACAGAAAGAGGCAGCTCCTCAAGCACTCCCAGGACAGGGCTGTGCTCACAAATCCCTCTCCTTTCCCTTTCCTTGTAACATTTGAGATCCAAATTAGTATTTGCAGCCTTCCTTTAAGGTCTTTAAGGATGTGGCACTGATTAATTAACATAAAAGCCAGGCAGGACTCGGTATGGGTAAACTGAGGCACAAACTACTCAGTGAAAGGCAGAAGAATCATGCTTGGGGCCGGAAGCTCAGAGGAGAATTAGGCAGCACTGAAGCCTCAGTCCCAGTCCCAGCTCCTGCTGCAGCTTCACTCCCACCAGTTTGGCTGCACACAGAACCAGCTTCTGCAGCCAAGAGCTGAAGCAAAGCTTCAAACTGAAGCTCAGCTTTGGCTCAGCAGAACCCAACATTCGGTGCAGCAAGTGGGGCCATGTAGGACTCCCCAGAGCAGCCTCTGCTCCCAGGGGACCAATCCTGCTTCCCCACCGAGCCCTCCCGAGCTGCGCTCCGGGCGGTGGGAGCGGAACCGGAGCAGGGCGAGGAGCAGCCTGCAGCTGGGGCAGCAGCAGGGAGCCAGCCAGGGAGCTGCCAGCAAATCCATGCCCGTGGGGAACATCCTGTGCGATGCAGTAACGTCTGGTGTGTCTGGCTTTGGACCATCAGTTCTGCCTCTTGCCTCTGTATCGTGCCTCCCAACAGAGCAACCTCTCCAGAGCAGACACCAACCACCCAGGGCAGCCTCTGCTCCCTGCAGAAAGCTTTTCCTTCCTCTCCTTCCTGTGCTTCCCTCACCAAACTGCTCTGCAGCATTAACAGGAACTGCTGAAGAGCTGCTGAGCTGCACTTGTTTCAGTGCTGCCAGGTTTACATCCATGGGCACCAGTTGCTGCTGTTCATAGAATAACAGAATCCCAGACCGGTTTTGGTTGGAAGGGACCTCAAAGCCCATCCAGTTCCAACCCCCTGCATGGGCAGGGACACCTCCCACCAGCCCAGGCTGCTCCAAGCCCCATCCAACCTGCCCTTCAACGCTGCCAGGGATGGGGCAGCCACAGCTTCTCTGGGCAACCTGGGCCAGGCTCTCACCACCCTCATGGTGAAGAATGTTTTCCTCATGTCCAACCTCAATCTCCCTTTTCTAGTTTTAACCCATTGCCCCATGTCTTCTCACTCCCAGCCCTCGTCCCCAGCCCCTTCCCAGATTTCCTGGAGCCCCTTCAGGCACTGGAAGGTGCTCTAAGGTCTCCCTGGAGCCTTCTCTTCTCCAGGCTGAACACCCCAGCTCTCCCAGCCTGTCTCCATAGGAATGCTTCCTTAGGAATGGTTCCTGCTGCCAGGCAATCCCACTGTGGCTTTCACACTCAGCTGCACACAAAATGTCCAGGCAGGGAAACCCTCCATGCCTTGACCAGAGCTGACCCCTGTGCTCCAGCTGTGCCAAACATCTCACTAGTAACTAGCAATAGGATGGGAGGAAATGGCTTAAAGTTACACCAAGGGAGGTTGAATGTTAGAAAGAACTTCTTTACAAGAAAGGGTGATTAAGCACTGGAATGGGCTGTCCAGGAAAGTGGGTGAATCACTATCCCTGACTGTGTTTAAAAATTGCTTTGGGACATGGTTTAGCAGTGGGTTGGTAGAGGTAGGTTAGTAAAGTCAGGTTAAAGGTTAGACTGGATGATCTTACAACCTTTTTGCAACCTGAACAATTCTGTGATTCTAAAGCAGAGGGCAACAGAGGGGATGAAGCAGCTCAAGCACAGCTAAAATTCAAGCCATAAATCATTGCTCAGATGGGGTCAGAGAAGCAGTATTAGAGCATGTCCAGCTACTGAACTGCAATCTCCTTCCCTAGAAAGGGCTGGCATCCCAGAGCTGGGGAGCTGAGCTCCTGTCTCTCCCTTTTCCAAGCCCTAAAGCTGGGTCCAGACCCTTGCACCAGCAGAAGCAAAGCCCCAAGCCCTGCACTCTGGTCCAGGACCCAGGCAGCCAAGTCCCTTGTGATTGCCAAGGCCACGGGATCCAGCCCAGAGAGGAGCCCTTTCTGCTTGGAGGTGGGTGCTGCAACTGCTGGTTATTTTAGGAGAAGCCTGTCTAGACAGAAAGCTGAGCCGAGCTGCTCTTTTAATTGCATCCGCCTCCCCGTGCCTCTTTTTTGGTTCAGAATGTGAATGATTTATCCAGGCTTTTCCAAATCCTGTTGTAATAAAGAGCTGTGTAAGGGGAATGCAGAGGCAGGCACTGAGAGGGGGGGGAAGTCCCCCAGACCAGAGGGGTTTGGGCAACCAACCTCAGTGCTCTGCTGCAGCTGGGGAGCAGCAGAGCTTGGGAACCCAAGAGATGATCCCAGAGTTCTAGGCCTGCTCCCATCCAGCCCTTTCCTTACTTCTATTTGTCTCCTTTACAAAACCAAGGGGAATGACTCCCCCAGCTCACAGCCCCACAAGGGAGGCTGCTTTACTCCCATTAAACCCCAGCCCAGCTGCCCACAGCCTTCAGGTCTGTTAGGCAAGCTAATTGCCTTTAATTCACTTGAAACCCCCACTCAAAGTGCAGATAGGATTGCCACCTCCTCAACTTCAGAGGCTTTCAGCTCCTTGGCTATTAGTGCTGTGTCCTACAGGCTTTTAAAAACAAAGGGAGTTTCCTACAGGGAGGTCTGGACCCAGGGCTGTCAGCACTGTTTACTCCCAGGCTGTTATTTGTGGTTTCCCCTGGGCAGCCAGTCGTTATTCCATTTTTCTCCTGCATCTCTTCAGCTCCGTGTTTATATCTTTGTTCTTCAGGAGGAGGAAGAAAAGGAAACAGAGTGGAACAGACAGATAACACCCTGCCCTCTGCTTCCGGAGAGGACCCACTGGCAGCACATTTTTAGAGCCCTCTCAGGGCAGAAAGTGAGAAGTTTTTTACAAAACAAATTTGAAAATTTCCCTAAGTTCTGCAAGCCCTGCTGTGCTACCAGCAGCACGGAAAAGGCTTCACCCCTGGGATGCTGAAAACCACATTTCATTGCCATAAAGCCCAACAGGAAATAAAAACACAAGGGCAGAAATTAAAACTCGGAGCCGGAATTGAAACCCAGAGTAGAAAGTGCAGCTGATCACAGAAGCACAGAATCCCCAAGGCTGGAAAAGACCTTTCAGATCATCCAGGCCAGCCTGTGACCAACACCCCCACATCTCCAGACCAGGGCACCAAGTGCCACATCAGCCTTTCCCTGAGCACCTCCAGGGATGGTGCCTCCCCCACTGCCCGGGGCAGCCCATCCCAGTGCCTGAT